GGGAATAACATCATCTGGCTGTGGCTCCTCTTGACTCTTGCATTGCTTGTATATCCATCGTTGCACTTTCACATGCGGCAGACTATTTATTTTACGTAGATCATGTGTCATATATTCACGAAACTCATCATGTCTAGCAGGCACCAAATAAACCCGGTTTAATTTTCTTGTACCGCTGAACCCTGATCCACATATTTGACGCAACACACCATCCTTTCCTCGATGAAATTTGGCGGCACATGTAGGATTATTTTTTGCAAATTTTTCATGGCTTGATTCCTTAACTGGTTCAACTTGTATAGCATTATCAACTGATGATACGTGTGGCGATATTGTGTGTATATCATCCTCCCTTCCTTGAAGCGAAACCGTCCGCGGTTTCAAGTCATTTTTCAACACGACCTCCCTCTCTCGAACTTGCCGCTCTCTAGTGATTGCACTATCCAGCATCGGCTTTAGCACGTGCTTCCTTCCACCATGCATAAATGAGTACGTGTTGGATCTCCCGGCATGCACCGCGTCATGATCGAACTGCCATGGCCTCCCTAATAGCAACTGACAAGCGTCCATCGGTAAGGCATCACAATCTACCTTGTCAATATAATCTCCAACAACAAATGGCACGCGTACCTTATGTGTAATCTTTAATTTTCCGGAGTTGAATAGCCACTCTACGTGGTGCGGTTGCGGATGCCGCCACATGGACAAACCCAATGCTTGCACGAGATCTTTGCTAATAGCATTAGTAAAACTGCCACCATCAATTATCATCTTGCATGCCTGGTCCTTGATCTTGCACTGTGTTTTAAAAACACTCCAACGCTGCCCTTTAGGATCACCATCCTCCTGCACCTTCTTCACTAAAAGATTTAGACCCTTCATCGGTGCATTAACTTCTTCTTTTATTTCTTCTACCTCTTCTCTTCTTTTTCGCAAACGATCTTTCCAATCAGCAGCGAACACATCCGTTGGCATGGGAATAAAACAAATTTTTTTTGCCCTTCCGTGATACAGAATAACTATTTTTCTTGACATCCCGCACAGCCCCAACACGCTTGCACCATGGGTCCCCAAGTAGCAGATGGCACGACACCATGGGCATAGGACAAACATGAAAAAATTCCGCACAACAATATTTCCCGAGATCAAAAATTAGCAAAATCTGATGCGTAATTTTGATTTCACCTTTGAACCACTTCAGCGTGTACGGTCTTTCAAGAGGCGCCATCTTCAGCCCCAATTTTTCCACCACCTCGATGCTCGCCATATTGACCGCTGTACTCTCATCGATTGTCAGATTAACACGTCGTTCGTTCACAACGCAATGAGTGTGAAAAAGAGTGACCTCGCCAATGCCTTCCTCCTCCATCAATATGTTCCTGTTCAACATATTGATGCTTGACTCCGTAGACGATAATACAAATTGAGTCGCCGTGACTAACCTTTGCTCTGAATACCACTTGATGAAACACGGACTAGCGAGATGCTAATTCGCGCGTTTAGATGGCCCGATCTTTCACGACGATCCTTGTTCAACTGTTCTTCCACCTGGTCCCTCAACCTCCAATAATAAGATTCACCCGTGTACGAAAATACACGAACAAAAATAATGATCCCCTTGGATCAGCACGTAGGCGTCGATGTGATGATCAACCCTCCGTCACTAGTAAATTTCCTCGATGAGAAAATCACAGATAATATACATGATATGGTCGTCCCCAACTTGGACGTTTTTCTGTATATTCATAACTCTGAAAACAAACCCAAAAACTCAAACTCCCCTCATCTGACGCACATTGGCTATTATATAGCCGACCCTCACGCACGCACGTGGCCGAAAGCCAACACAATCTGGACTCTTATCAATACGACTTGGTCATCACGTTTATAGCATACGTGGACCTTTTTACAAGGAAAAATACTACTTCTGCTACTCACGTAGCACTACCTAATGGGATAAAGCCCAATTTAAATAAAACATGGGAACTTATCTTTAGCAGATCCATCAAATATATTGGCTTGGAGATTGAAAAGGAAGCTGCCAATCCTAATATTCCCTGGAGGCGTACGAAACGTGGGAATAACATCATCTGGCTGTGGCTCCTCTTGACTCTTGCATTGCTTGTATATCCATCGTTGCACTTTCACATGCGGCAGACTATTTATTTTACGTAGATCATGTGTCATATATTCACGAAACTCATCATGTCTAGCAGGCACCAAATAAACCCGGTTTAATTTTCTTGTACCGCTGAACCCTGATCCACATATTTGACGCAACACACCATCCTTTCCTCGATGAAATTTGGCGGCACATGTAGGATTATTTTTTGCAAATTTTTCATGGCTTGATTCCTTAACTGGTTCAACTTGTATAGCATTATCAACTGATGATACGTGTGGCGATATTGTGTGTATATCATCCTCCCTTCCTTGAAGCGAAACCGTCCGCGGTTTCAAGTCATTTTTCAACACGACCTCCCTCTCTCGAACTTGCCGCTCTCTAGTGATTGCACTATCCAGCATCGGCTTTAGCACGTGCTTCCTTCCACCATGCATAAATGAGTACGTGTTGGATCTCCCGGCATGCACCGCGTCATGATCGAACTGCCATGGCCTCCCTAATAGCAACTGACAAGCGTCCATCGGTAAGACATCACAATCTACCTTGTCAATATAATCTCCAACAACAAATGGCACGCGTACCTTATGTGTAATCTTTAATTTTCCGGAGTTGAATAGCCACTCTACGTGGTGCGGTTGCGGATGCCGCCACATGGACAAACCCAATGCTTGCACGAGATCTTTGCTAATAGCATTAGTAAAACTGCCACCATCAATTATCATCTTGCATGCCTGGTCCTTGATCTTGCACTGTGTTTTAAAAACACTCCAACGCTGCCCTTTAGCATCACCATCCTCCTGCACCTTCTTCACTAAAAGATTTAGACCCTTCATCGGTGCATTAACTTCTTCTTTTATTTCTTCTACCTCTTCTCTTCTTTTTCGCAAACGATCTTTCCAATCAGCAGCGAACACATCCGTTCGCATGGGAATAAAACAAATTTTTTTTGCCCTTCCGTGATACAGAATAACTATTTTTCTTGACATCCCGCACAGCCCCAACACGCTTGCACCATGGGTCCCCAAGTAGCAGATGGCACGACACCATGGGCATAGGACAAACATGAAAAAATTCCGCACAACAATATTTCCCGAGATCAAAAATTAGCAAAATCTGATGCGTAATTTTGATTTCACCTTTGAACCACTTCAGCGTGTACGGTCTTTCAAGAGGCGCCATCTTCAGCCCCAATTTTTCCACCACCTCGATGCTCGCCATATTGACCGTTGTACTCTCATCGATTGTCAGATTAACACGTCGTTCGTTCACAACGCAACGAGTGTGAAAAAGAGTGACCTCGCCAATGCCTTCCTCCTCCATCAATATGTTCCTGCTCAACATATTGATGCTTGACTCCGTAGACGATATTACAAATTGAGTCGCCGTGACTAACCTTTGCTCTGAATACCACTTGATGAAACACGGACTAGCGAGATGCTAATTCGCGCGTTTAGATGGCCCGATCTTTCACGACGATCCTTGTTCAACTGTTCTTCCACCTGGTCCCTCAACCTCCAATAATAAGATTCACCCGTGTACGAAAATACACGAACAAAAATAATGATCCCCTTGGATCAGCACGTAGGCGTCGATGTGATGATCAACCCTCCGTCACTAGTAAATTTCCTCGATGAGAAAATCACAGATAATATACATGATATGGTCGTCCCCAACTTGGACGTTTTTCTGTATATTTCATAACTCTGAAAACAAACCCAAAAACTCAAACTCCCCTCATCTGACGCACATTGGCTATTATATAGCCGACCCTCACGCACGCACGTGGCCGAAAGCCAACACAATCTGGACTTTTATCAATACGACTTGGTCATCACGTTTATAGCATACGTGGACCTTTTTACAAGGAAAAATACTACTTCTGCTACTCACGTAGCACTACCTAATGGGATAAAGCCCAATTTAAATAAAACATGGGAACTTATCTTTAGCAGATCCATCAAATATATTGGCTTGGAGATTGAAAAGGAAGCTGCCAATCCTAATATTCCCTGGAGGCGTACGAAACGTGGGAATAACATCATCTGGCTGTGGCTCCTCTTGACTCTTGCATTGCTTGTATATCCATCGTTGCACTTTCACATGCGGCAGACTATTTATTTTACGTAGATCATGTGTCATATATTCACGAAACTCATCATGTCTAGCAGGCACCAAATAAACCCGGTTTAATTTTCTTGTACCGCTGAACCCTGATCCACATATTTGACGCAACACACCATCCTTTCCTCGATGAAATTTGGCGGCACATGTAGGATTATTTTTTGCAACTTTTTCATGGCTTGATTCCTTAACTGGTTCAACTTGTATAGCATTATCAACTGATGATACGTGTGGCGATATTGTGTGTATATCAGTGTGTGAGGATTTGATGGTAAAAAAGGTCGTCAATGTCGTAATATTGAACTCTTTAAGTTAACGTGGCCCCGTTGCAACGCACGGGCGTTCTTCTAGTTGGTATAGAAGATATAGATGACCGCGAGTTTTCCTTTTTTTTTTTTGAGGGGTATGACGGCGAGTTTTCCTTTTCCCGACGACGAGCTGCATAGAATTTATACCGCCGTCGTGATCGGCCGAGCGCCCAAGCCCAGTTACTTAGCTAGGCTATCGGTCCATCCGGCCCAGACCGAACACAAACAGAAACTCCCTGTTACGTATTCTCTCAGCAGAGACGCACTCGCGACACTACGACTCGCTCCCACCACCGCGCGTGCCGTGTCAGGCGGCCATCGCGCTACGCCGGCAGCCGCCACGGAACATCTGGACCAAACCCCCGCCGGCCACCACCCAGCGCGGCTGCAAAGGCCCCCGGGACTCTACCCTAGACGAGAGCGAGGAGGTCTTGAGAGAGAGAGAGATGGTCTGGGCGCTGACCCCCGTCGGCACAGAGCGCGGTGTGCCACCCCCTTCCCCCACTCCGATTCCTCCGACCTCGTAGTGCACAGATTTTTCCTTTCAGTTTGGTGATGAATGGTTTCCATGGGGTCTTGCAGGGGCGCAGAAGTACTACATCTCCGCCGCCGGGACGTACACGGTCGGCCGCAAAGGTCTGTTGTATAAGGCTTGTTGGTTCATTCAGGTTTTGTTTCTGTGTGCAACTACATATGTGGTGATAAGATAGTTGTGTTAGCGGTTCAATTGTTGAGTTCTTGTACACAACCCCTTGGCAGGTTGGAAAAAAAGGAGATGATGTTTTGGGATTCAGATATGCTGGTTGATTCCTACGATTTTAATCTGTATCCTGTCCCTTCATTTGTCTGAAATGCATTCTATAGTCAAGGATTTTATCTTTCCTACTGTATTTACTAGACCATCAAGGACAAGAGCCACACTCTTCTTTTCAGTAAAGTTGATATGGTCTCCATTTGTGCAAGCCCCTAAAACTGATAGATTATCAATATAGTAGCATGTGATTTGGAATTCATAGACTATCAGTATACATTGAACATCATGTATTAGAGTGTAGATTGACACCGGCATTTCTGCTACAGATTGCGATATCGTTCAAACAGAAACGTCGATATCCCGAGTGCATGCGGAGATAGCAGTTGAAAAGATGGTTGCCTGGGAGCCACGTTCTGGTGCTCCAGCAAGCCCTTCATGTGTTAGTGTAGTTGATCGTTCAAAATATGGCACATTTGTCAACAAGGTACAGGGGACCCAGGGCAGTCGTCTACGTAAAGATGAAGTTGTGGTGCTTTCCGATGGCGATACCGTGACTTTCGGAAATGGCAACATGACCTTCAGGTTAGTATAAAAGAAAAATGGGGAAACGGTATGCTTGTGCCTTCTTCCCTGCTCACACATCTTTTTTTAATTAGCACGTGCAACTATCTGTAAGAAATGATTGTCAATGCATGCAATCATTTTTTAATGTTTTTTTTGCTTATTCCATATATGTACTGGTGCTTTGGTTGAAAAGGTGGATGTATAAGTTGCACTTAGTTCTGTTGATATTCCTGACAGGTTCTCGTTTGTCTCCATAGTGGTCTTTTTTCATGGCAAAAAGTCAGCACGAATTGATCGATCATTGCAGGCAGTCATGACATCTATTGGTTAGTGGTAACTACACTTGTATGATGTACTTGCTGTCGTCATTAGTAAGCATAGGTTTTGCCATGCTTGTTGCTACTTAATTTTGATAAGTCGGTATTATCCTTCTAAGGTGCATATGTTACTCGTAAGTGGTTTGATACATGTACACATGTTCTTGTGGATGAATCATCTCCATTGACACCTGAGCTCCTTGATGCAATCATCACAAAAAAGCCAATCATCTTGGGAAGCTGGTTCAAGGTACTTCCCTTTGTCCCTCCTGCAGCATTGCTTGGATGCTCGTATGGTCTTTTTTAGCCAGAGAACCTGAACTATGCGAATTAAGTTAATGCATATAGATGGACAGAGGAGGTCCTCTGGTGTGATTCTGTAAATTATATAGCAATGATCAACTATTTCACTTGTGTCATTTACACTTTCTTATTCATATGTATATTTCAGGTTTGAGTTCTTGTTTTGATCTGTTTCAGGCGATGGCTGAAAAGAACATACACACAGAGATCCCTTCTTGTACACAGTAAGCTGTGGGCAACCTTCAGCACCTGAGTTGTAGTTTCTGTTGATTCTTGCATCAACTTGTGGTTCTCCCATAACAACAGATGGTGATATATTCATCGTACTTGATCCAGATATATTCCAAACTTGACTCTTGATGGGATGGATATAAAGATGGTTGAGAACAAGCTCATGGAGAATTGCCTGGCAGGCCATACTTTTATCCTGGGGTCGTCAGAAAAGGTGGTGTATGTTAAAGTTGAAAGGATATCATCAGGCATTTTGCTGTTGACTAACGTTATTCAATTGCAGTATAAATTTGGAGAGAAAATACAAGAGCTACTGGAATCAACTGGAGCAAAATATCTTAGCATCGAGGAGTTTTGTGCTAACAGCCAGGTAAGTGTCCTAATATGTTATAAAATGTTTTTCTTTTTCTTTTGAGGATACCTTTGAGGAATAATGCATTTTCTCTTTAAAAACGTAAGGCACCCAAATTCTAGATGAAGAGGGCTTGAGTTGATAATAATGTCAGTTACTTATTCCGGTGCTACCTTATGTGATTGCTTCATTGCCTCTACTTGCATGACGATTTATCTTGTTATTGGTGGGTGTGTACTCTTTGTCTATGGGAGGTGCAAACAGATGAATGACTTAAGCATGAAATTGACAGGACTCTGGAGCTGGAGACAATGACCAACAAATTCTTCTTGTTCCTGCAAAATCTCCTTTGGAGTTCAGTAAGATGCGTCCTCTATTTCCTTTGTCCAAGACCACTGACGTGAAGCTATTTGCTGCTATATTGTCTGGTCGCTTGGAAGCAGCTGCTATTGAACCACCTGCTTGTAAGTATTAAAAGTTCCATGCATATGCATTTTTGGAGAACGTGCAAGAAATTTGGACACCTTAACACTAAGCAGTTGCATATATACGCCTTAATAAACCTACAAATGTAATTTTTTTTTGCTAGACATGATTACATCCTCCAATACAACAGATGAAACTATTGTGGCGGATTCTGATGTTGAAACAGATACTGCAATATCTGATCATACTGTTGCTGCTAGCAAGTCTGAGCACCATATTCAGCATATGTCTGATGATAAAGCAGAAAGTAAAGTTACAAGCAGTGTGAGTGCTGTAAATTTAGAAGAAACAAACGTCAGCATCAATATTCAGAACGACCTGGAGAAAGAAGAAATTTTGGAACCCATGGAGGAGGATGTTCAGGTCATAGAGAAAACAGCAATTTCTGGGTTCAAAGCTGGAGGCGAGGACGTTCAGGTTATAAACAAGCTGGTGCAGGATGAGGCTTGTGATGCTGTTTTCGTGAACAAGGCGCCAAAGGATGAGAACTTGGACAGTAGCAGGGAAGAGACTTGTCATGTTATTTTCAGTCAAGATCTGATTGTCAAAAGGGTCCTTCAGCCAGCTCCTGCCGTGTTGACAGAAACTGGAGGTGTTAACTTCAAACGATTCAAAAAGGTATATTCTATACGCTCATGTAGTCCTTTTTGGCACAAAGTTGAATGCTAACACAGCGAAATCGTTAACCTTCAACTTTTCAGAGGCAAACCGTGTCTGGAAACAGCTTCAAGGCCCTTATTCCATGTGCACAAGAACCATACAGGTAAGATTATGATGACTTCCAATGGAATTTGACGTTCATCAGTTGGTTTTGCACTGAAAGGCTTATCGTATTCTGTTTCCTTTCCGTAGAGAGTCTGATTGCGAGAAAGGCACCTTGAACGATTTCATGAGAGAGGAGAAGCGGCGAAAGCAAATGGAATCCATTGCAGAGGACCTCTTCAACAACCAGAAGGTACCTGTGGGCTTGCCCACCACTGCCACTCCCATAACCTGTCCTGTGTATATGTATTTTAACCCTGTGATGGTGGGTTTTCAGCCGCAGAAAAAGAAGGCGGCTGCGGGCAGTTCAATCCAGATCCTGCTCACCGGTTGCCGATGAAGATAAAACGACTCTTCGTCGGAAGCAACCGGATGGTGGCTCTCTTTTTGGGCACCTTTGTTTCCCAAGTTGTACCGAAGGTTTCTCGTCACCACGAGAGAAGCCAGTGATGGGAACTACTACTTACTAGTACTACATAGGAAGGGTGCGCGTAGGAGATGAATTGTCAGATATCATGCTCAGATTTTGGCAAGACGTTTGCATCACTGCACACACGTCGGAGGCGGCTGTTAGCCTGCACTGTTTCTTTTTTTTTTCTTTGACTCAACTTGGGCGTGTTTGGGACTGTTTTGCTTCACCAAAATCAGTTTCGCTCCATTAAATTCACTTTAGAGCAGTTTCATCCAAAAGTTGTAGCACTATCAAAGAGAATGTTTGGCTTTCATCTAGCTCCAGCTTCAAGAATGAGAAATTTGATGGAAAGGATATATTTGATTGGTCGAGGGGGGGGAGAAACGAAGAGGTATCCACTTACTGGTGGCAGTGGTGGGTAATTTCCACCCAAATCCAGTTCTTAGAGTTTTTTGGAGCATCCCTTGAAGAGTTTTATAAAAAATTGGGAGTTGTGTCCCAGATTCTAGTTTTTTGTGAAGCGGCATATCGTGGAGCTATCTCGTTTAGCTTATATTTTTTAGAGTGGAGCTGAATTTTAAGGAGCAGCAGTGCCAAACAGACTCTTAGACAGGCTGAGGTAGGTAGAAAACCATGTTGAGCACATAGTTTGGTAGCTTACATCCATCTGCATGGAAGCACCAATCCCTTCTGCCTCACGCATTTGGTTGCCTGCATATGGCTCTTCTGATGCACACTATGCTACATGTTTGGTTTCACACATTTGGCTGTGTATACTGTTAGCATCTACTCCCTCCATTCTAAAATAGATGACTCAACTTTATACTAATTTTGTCACCCCTCTTCCTCTTCACCTATCACCCTAACTAGTGCTCATTGCATTTTATATATGACCACAATGATTACGCCAATAAACCAACACTACAATCAGGACGAATTGAACGATGATGATGTCTTCATCTCACACAGCCCAAACTGACCAGGAGAGCATAAAGTTGGACTGGCATCATCTGCCTTTCGCCTGGTCATAAAACTTTCGAAGCAGTTATCTTTGTAATAGGTCATTTGTTCATGTCATGTGTGCCATGATCCATGAACTGTAATCTCTTGAACCCTCCCTACGTATACCACGTATCACTTCACCTAGCATGATAAAAAAACAATTAAGCAACAAGCAAATGAACACAACATATGAAACATAAACAACATAGGCATGCATAATCTTATATCTCGAAAGGCAGAACAAGTTCGTCCTAACTACTATGATGTCATCCTACTACCACATTTAAAAGATGGTGTAATCCTATCAGTTCACCATCGACACAAAGAGATTAGTATATACCACCTCATCAAAATATATAGGCCAACAACAGTTTTTACCATAAAATGTACAACGTCATCGTCGGCGTCGTCTGTCATCATCATGCACGTCATCAGCACCATCATAAGCACAGTAGTAGTAGTGCTAGCCCAACAATATCCTAAGATAGAGCACCTTATGACCCCCCTGCCAACGAACCCAGGCCCCTGTGCCATGATGTTTAGTAGGTGGCTAACAACCGCCATCAGAGCCTCCTGACCGAAGCCACCCATCTCCATGACGGAACTGTAGAGGGAAGGGTGAGCATCGACGGTCTTGCTCTCCGTGGTGGCAGTTGCCACTTCCTTGACAGCCTCAGTCATGCTGCTAAAGACGCTCAACTCCTCATCCATCAAGCTGCCCCTCTTCCTCTTCCTCTTCCTCCCAAGAACAAGAGCATGGTCAACAGCCTTCTCATGACCATCAAGGGATATTGGTCTCGAACTCCTGGGTATTTGGATACTCAGGCATAGGCATAGGCGAACTGAGATGCTCGCCGGAGCCCATGGCATGCTTGCCGGTAGCCAGCCGAGAAGATCTACCGCATCTCTAAGTAGTTCCGTATGAAAATGTTGAGGAACTTAGCATCCTTGGGGTGGACCTAACGAAGAAACACAATGTTGTTAGTTGTGTTTGGCATGTTAGAGAAACTAAACAAGTTCAACCAGTGCTATGTGAGCTAATCATAGTGTAGCCTTTGTAGTGCTATGTCTCCAACAGGATCATGAAGGTGCCGGAGAAGAGCATGAAGACAAATCGCCGTCGCCTTCTATAACCGACCAGAGAAGATGCTTTGCTTACCTTCTCGTCGGTGAAGAATC